GGGGGGGGGGGGGGGGGAATAGGAAGTTAGTATTTTAAGGGTACAGAACTTCAGTTTTGCAAGATGAAAAGAATTAAGTTCTGGAAATGGATGCTGATGATGGTTGCATAACAGTGTGAACATAATGCCACAGACCTGTACACTTAAAAAGAATAAAGATGCCGAAACTGGTTTGGCTCAGTGGATAGAGCATAGGCCTGTGGACTGAAAGGTCCCGGGTTCGATTCCAGTCAAGGGCATGTACCTGGGTTGCGGGCACTTCCCCAGTGGGGGATGTGCAGGAGGCAGCTGATCGATGTTTCTCTCCTTGATAGAATTGTGCAAAGGAGCCCTAGCCGGTCTTGCTCAGTGGATAGAGCATCGACCTTTGGACTGAAGGGTCCCAGGTTCGATTCCCGCCAAGGGCACATGCCTGGGTTGCGGGCTCGATCCCCAGTGGGGGGTGTGCAGGAGGCAACCAATGAGTGATTCTCTCTCATCATTGATGTTTCTATCTCTCTCTCCTCCCTTCCTCTCTGAAATCAATAAAGAAATATTTTTTTAAATGATAAATTTCATACATATTTTACAAAAAAAATTTTTAATTAGGAGGTGAGGGGAGGAGAAAGCTCTCAACCTGCTAATTTTTATTTGGGGACCAGCATGACATAGTGGCTAATAACTAGGAACTCTGGAGTTTTTTTCTTGTTTATTTTTTTAAATATATATTTCTTTATTGATTTCAGAGAGGAAGGGAGGAGAGACAGAAACATAAATGATGAGAGAATCATTGTTCGGCTGCCCCCTGCACACCCCCTACTAAGAATCCAGCCCGCAACCCAGGCATGTGCCCTTGGCCGAAATCGAATCTGGGACCCTTCAGTCGGCAGGCTGACGCTCTATCCACTGGGCAAAACCGGCCAGGGCAAGGAACTCTGGAGTTCTGAGTTTCTTTCTGTGTTCTGCATTTACTAGCTGGGAACCTTTGAGCAAGTCACGTGACCTCTCTGAGACTGTTTTTCGGTTAAAAACGGAAATAATAACAATAAAAGTCTCCTACCTCATAGGCTATGAGGATAAGAGAAGAAGGAAACTGAATTTTATTAGCACAAGAGTGAGCACTTGCTAAAATGAGTTACTAAAAAGTCAGCAATAATTAAGTGATAAAATTACTAATATTATCAGAGAGATCTCTACGAGCCTGAAGAAACTTCGTTTTACGGGAAAAAAAGAAGCCCAGCTTAGGAGTCAGAAGACGGGCTAAGAGTGGCTGTGGGCGTGAGACTTCTGTGACACACAAGGGGTGACAAAGATGATCTCGTAGATTACCAGGAAGCCAGATCAGTTTTGTTGCTTGGCGGGAACCAGCCTGGCAGCACCTTCCTCTCCTCACCTCCTAAGCTTCTCAGGAACGTGCCAGGCGAGGGAAGGGGTCCAAAGGTCGTGCCAGAGAGGGCTGATAGCAAAGCCCCTTGCTAAGCCCGAGGTGGCGACATGGTGCCAGGTTGTGCAAGACACCTACGCATTGGGAGCAAGGGTCCCGCACCCTCGTTCCTCCCCTCCAAAGCCTGCAACTCTGCCCGCTGGGAGAGCTGCAGGAAACTGCAAACTCTTCAGGTGCAGCAGAGACCCCCAAGAAACGGCATCCCCAGAACAGCCTGGGTTGCAGAATTATAAATACCTCCTCTGCACATGCGCACTGAAATTTGCGAGCGTCCCGGGGCACAACCGCGCCCACTGCGCCTGCGCCGTCCAGCAGTCCTTCGGGCACAGGACAGAAAAGGGGGATCTAGTGGACCCGCGAAAAAAGAGTGGGTTTGCGGTGGCCGTATCCTCATTTCTTACCTCGTAATGCTTCATGATTTCTTCACACGGCGGCTACGGCTCCTGCTGCTACTGCCGCTGCTGCTGCCTCCCAGCACGCAACGCAGCACAGGTCCCTCACGCGCTCACGACTGCTGCGCGAGACTAACCACGGCTCCGCGTCCGCCCCGCCCCTCCCTGCAGCCCGTGCCCTTCCAGCCAATCAGCGTGTAGGGCGCCCACCTTCGTCCCTTCCCCACGGGGCTGGTCTGAGCGTAGACTAGCAGCTCTCACCATAATGCTAGCCAATCAGCTTCCGGAATCCATCGAGGAGGCGGAACGCGGGCACGAAGTGGGCGAGAAAGAAGGGGCGTGGCCCTCCACCAATCAAAATGAGTCTCGAGGCCGCGCGCCCCTTTCCCCGCCTCTTGACGGCGTCGCTGTGGAAACGAAAGGAAGCGACGGTTACTGCAAGGTGGGGGCGGGAGCAAGAAGTTGAGTGACAGGGAGGGCAGCATCCACAACGGGCGGCGA